TGGAGGAGTCGCTCAAGCGGCGCGGGCACTGCACCTCGGCTGCATCTCGGGTGCATCCCGGGCGTATTTCGGTTGTAGGAGGCGCTCACGCGGAGAGACGCGGAGGCGGAGTGGCTGCACGGCTTGCCTCGAGGGATGGAGAGGCGTTTGATCTGGAGCTGTGAACAGGCGGAGGAGCTGCACGACATGCTCGAGTGCGTGCAGGTGCGGACACATTTCGACTCCCCGACACCGCACTACTCCAGCTGCACTACTCCCCTGCTCACCCGACTGCCTGCAAGAAGGTGCTGCACGGCGTTGCGCTCGTGCGGACCCCGTCAGGGCAGCGCTCCGCTCGCGACGGAATCGACGCCCTTCGCCGCATCGTTTTCGAGGCGGAGTCGGCGCGGCTTCGGGAGCTCGAGAGCGGTGAGACACGACGCGACGCGGTGTTCAGCAGACGAGTCGGCGCCCCTCCCGGCTGAGGCGAGGCTTGCCGACGCTCTAGGCGAGGACAGTTCGGAGGGCGCCATCGCCGGCTTGCGCGCCCAGCTGGCCGAGCAGCACGCTCGGCTGCGCAAGCTCGAGCCGCTCGCCGGCCGGGCGGAGGCGGCGGAGGCGGAGCAGAGGCGCTGCGCAGCCAGCTGCCAAGGGTGGTATTCACACCAGTGGCTGTCAACAGGCGGAGGCGGAGGCGCTGCGCGACCAGCTGCAGGCCCTCGCGCAGGCAAAGCTGCACCTCGTCAGCCAGAGAAGCAGCCAGGTGATGGCCAACACGCCGGACAAGGGGCGCCGCAACTGGTTCGTGTGTATGAAAGCCCTCCTCCTGGGCTCCACCACGCGGAACCAGAAGCTCGTGAAATCTCACAGCCATCGCGCTTCGACTACACGGGGGTACCCGCCTTCGGGGACCCGTGTGGAATTTCAGGAGATATAGCTGTGAGATATATAGTTGTGAAGAATCCATCAATTGTTTTTGAAAAAAGGAGAAAGAAAAGTCCTTTAAAAGAAAGAAATCTCCGCTAAAAACCTTCGGCGGGCACCAACAAACTTCCGCGTCGAGTTCTCGTGGTGTGTGCCGGATTCGGCTGCCTCGTGTGATTCTGCACCCCCTTGTTTGCCGGTCGCGTGCTGTCCGCCCTCCTGCCCACCACTCCCCGCCGTGCCGTCACACGCACGCCGTTGTCTCCTCACACGTCACAGGTAACTTATGGGCTGTTCGAGCGGAAAGATGGCGACAGCCGAACCGGCGACTGCGCCTGACGCGCTTACTACCGATGGGGACGTGGCGGTGCCCAATCTCCCTACCAAGGGTTATGTGCTGAGCACGCCGAGTGCTGGGACGGTGTTGGAGCAGGTGGACGAATCGGAAGAGCCAGAGTCTGAGGTCGAGCCCGCCGCAGAGGAGCCGGCGGGCTTTCTCACCAAGATAAAGGCAATGGTCTCACCACGAAAAGATACGCCAGCGGAGGAGGAGGACGAGGTTGACATCGAAGACAAGGAGGGTGAGGCTGAGGTGAAGGAGAAGCCGCCCTGCTGCAAGCCGCCGTCCTGCTCGATGCCAAAGTGCTCGATGCCAAAGTGCTCGATGCCAAAGTGCTCGATGCCAAAGTGCTTTCCGCAATGCACGAAGAAGGTCGAGGCGCCCGCGGAGGAGGCCGTTTGAAGGTCTGGACGTTGTATATTGCTGATCCTGCTGGCTTACTGTGCAGGAGATACTTACCTTTGCCATGGAAAGGGTGATTGGGCTCTGGCCAGGCCCTAGGCGTGGAGGGATTGTGTACTTGCGACGAACATATACATATATGTGTGCCTCTCGCTGTGTGTTGTTTCTCGCGCCCATGTTCGTAGGTTGCTCGTGTCCTTCGCTTCGTGTGTATGTGTGTGTGTGTGTGTGTGTGTGTGTGTCTCCGCACACATACTCATACATCTGCTCTGCGCGCACTCTTGCTTCTAGTACTACACGGCTCTCGTCTACGTAGAGAATATGACGACGCGGCACAAGCGAGGCAAGAGCGACAGACTCTCAGCGAAACACGACAGAAGCCACAGCTGACTCAGCGAGCGAGCTCGGTAGTCACGTATATAGGTGGAGACATCGACACCGGCACAACGCGTGAAGCGACACAAGTCACAACATGCGGTCGAGAGAATCATGGGAGGCACGCCACGCGCTTGTGCGAGAAGTTCATGGAGAAAACGCGCAATGCACATGCTGACGTCAGAAGCTGACGCGGCTGCATCTCGTCAATCATCGTCAAAGAGACTGGCCACGGCGCTGCTCTTCCAGCCCCTTGAGTATGAGGACGGAGCCGCCGGTGCCGGCGCCGGTGCCGGCGGCGGTGGCGGTGGCGGTGGCGGTGCCAGCTCCGGTGCGGCCAGTGGTGCGGCCGAGGTAGTCTTGGGGGGCTCCCATGCGGGGTAGAGTTGACTCAGATAAGCGCCGGGAAGGCCCGTGCCCTTGTCCTCCACCGGGGTCGGGCTCACATTCACATCCTCCGAAGCCTCCTGCTTGCCTTCTTCTCGTGACGGCTCCGCCTCCCGGCGACCGCCCGGCGCAGCTGACGGGGCGCCGCCGCCCGTCCGGACCGGGGCGCTCGCGCCAGGTGCATCCGATCGCACCCTGTCTGCCCGTCCCGCAGCCCCGGCCTGCCCGGCTCTCTCGAGCGTCTGCTTGGCGAGCTCGACCAGCTGCGCAGCTGTCACCGGCTGGCGAAGCGTCACAAACCCCTCGGGCGGCGGCGGGAGGTCTGGCTGCTTTGCTCGGGGCGCCGGTGGGTCGGCGCGGCGCCTTCCCCCGCCACCGCCGCCACCGCCGCCGCGCCCTGCGCCACGCGCGCCACCGCGCCCTCCGCTCCGCCTGGCCGGCTCGGCGGCCGAGGAGTGGCGCGAGAGAGACTCGGGCCGGTCAGGGGCGGGATCCTGCGGCTCGCGCTCCAGGGAGGCGTCATCCTCGGCTTGTGGCTTAGCCGCGGTGCCCAAGCGCGCCGGTAGCCGCCGCTTCCCAGAGGAGGGGGGCCGGGGCGCGCTGGAGCCTGCGCCGCCATTTTGAGGCACAAACGTGCCGCGCGTGCCGCGAGCTTGAATTGGATCCGGCTCGACGGGCGTCTCGGACGCCACCCTCGCACGCATGAGCAGCGTGAGGAGGTGCTTGCAGAGGGAGGCGGAGCTGGGCGGGACCGACTCGTCCAGTACGCCGCTCGGGTGCCGCTTGGCGAAGTCCGGGCAGCTGCACTCGGCGCGCCGCACCAGCGAGTCGGGCGGCGCGGCGAGCTGCAGCGAGAGCTTGTACCGCGCGCCGTCCGTGCCGCCGCAAGCGGCGGTGAGCGCGACGCCGTCGAAGCCGTGCGAGGCCTCGCTGACCCGCTCGAACCGCTCGTCAAACCACGCTTCGTCAGCATCCACCGCCGCCCGCGCCCTGAACCGCCTCTGGTTGGCGGCGTAGTTGTCACCCCCAATCTCGTCCTCGTCCTTGTCGTCAAAGAGCGTGAACCAGCTGCCCTCGCCCTCGCCGTCGACGACGTAGACCTCGATGCAGCCAGGGCCAAACGGACCGGCGGCCGGCCTCGCATTGGCGGAGCTGGCGGCGGGAGCAGCGGCGAAAGGGCCAGCGGTGGCGGGAGCAGCGGCGGCGGGGCCAGCGGCGGCGGGTGCCCGCGAGGACGGCGGGAGCGAGTGGCCGCCCGGAGGGGCGACTGTGCCGTGGATGCGGCCGTGCGCCTCCTCGCGCTCGCCCGCCGGCGGCGGAGGCGATGCGCTGCTACCACCGCTGCGGAAGGGTCGCAGGAAAGACGGCATGCTGCCGGCAGGTGGGCCGCTGACGTCGCGCGTGTCGCCGCCCACGCGCACAAAGCTTTCGAGCCGCATCTGCCGGATGCCGCAGTCGATCGCCCGCCGGTCACCGTCCGGACTCACCTACGGCGATCCCTCCCTACAGCTGAGGGCCGCTACAGTCGCCCTCGCATCCGCGCGCCGCTCCCGCCGCACCACCAGCAGCTCATCCAGCGCAACCTTGTGCCGCCGCACCAGCCACGCCATCGGCCAAGCCACGAGCCGTCCGTCCGCCTGAGGAGCGAACCAAGTCGACGGGTGTCAGAGTGCGACACACCCCGCGGGGGGCAGCAACGAATCGGCCGCCACCCTGGCGGCGCCGCTCGCCACCGCCCCTGTGAGCCAGCTCTGTCCGGCTCCACCGCCGCCGTCGCCGCCGCCGCCGATGCCGCCGCCGATGCCTCCGCCGGTGGTGCTGGGTGGTGCGCCAGGCGCGAGCCAGAGGTAGTGCGCGGGCGCGCCGAGGCGAGAGACGAGCTCGCGGAGCCCGTCGAGCGCTGTCGCGAAGAGGGCGCCGCCGCTGTCGAGCCGGGCGAGCGCCGCCTCGAACGCGCCCGAGTCGCCGCTCGAGTCGACGAGGTCGACGAGAGGCTCGAAGAGCGAGCGCGGCTGCAGCGTGACGAGCAGGCGCGCCCTCGGCCGGTGGCCCAGCCAGCAGGCGACCGCGTCGGCCACCTCGTGGTTCCACACGAGGGCGTCCCTCGGCGATGCGCCCGCCCGCGGCGGATGAAACAGGCAGCACCCGTCGATCAACAGAGCGCTCTCGCCGAAGCAGCCGCTCAGATCCTCTCGCAGCGGCAGCTGCACCTCTGCCGTGCGTGCAAACTTGTCGTCAACGCCCGCGCTAGCAGCGGTCAACGGTCCGTCGAGAGCGCGGTCCGCGCGGGTCGACCCATATACTCGGCGCGAGCACGCCTCGCCCGCCGCGAGAGGGAGGTATGTGTGTTCGGACCCTGCGACGGCCTCTGCCATCGCCCACTCGTTGGCCCACTCGCACTGGAGCCGCCCACCCTCCGGCCTGCAGGAGACGAGAAGTGGCGACGGTGGCAGCGCGTCCGCAAGCTCTGCGAGCAGCTGTCCCCGCGCAGCGCCGCCGTTCTGATCGTCGACGACGTAGACGGTGTCCGTGTGTTTCTTGATGCGCTTGACAACGACATGCTTCGACCTCTCCTCGACCGAGAGGCGGACGTGCGGCGCGCCGCGGCGCTGCTGCTCCTGCACGTAGCGCGACTTGCCCGCTGCTGGCGGGCCGCTCACCACAACGAGCGAGTGAGGCTGCCACGGCGGTGCGGTCGCCATGGCCCACGGGCCCGGTGTGTGTGCCAGTCCGCGCCAGTCCGCGCTTGTCGTGCCAGTGTGCTGTGAGAGAGGCTTGTATCCTAAGAATTCTTCTTTAGCCTTTGCGCGCTCATACTGTAATGTGATCGAAATCACAGCCGCTCGGTACAAAGGAGGCGCCCCCCGTAATGTGATCCAAAACACATTCGTAATGTGCGTCCAAGGCGAGGCACGGAGGAGGCTTTCCCGTAATGCGATCGGAATCGCATCCAACGCTAGGCTCGGAGGAGGCGCCCCCGTAATGTGATCGAAATCGCATTCGGCGCTCGGTACGAACAAGGCACCCCCGTAATGCGGTCAAAAACACATACTGGCGCGAGGCACGAACGAGGCAACCCCGAGCTCGGGGATCGAAATCACATGCGGCGCTACATAGACTGCGCACACGCGTGACACCTCGCCACCACAACGAGCGAAAAGTACGTACACTGAGAGAGAGAGATAGGTACACTCTCTGAAAGAGCCACGTACACCTGGGCGGGACACACTAATGAACTGTGTTTGGTATTGCTAAAAATCTCTCTCTGAATGAAAGAAAGTCTGAGAGAGAGAAAAAGAGTCACCGACCGAACGCCGGAGAGGAAACACCTAGCCTGGCACGAGCGAGACGCACCTGGTGGTAGTATGTACACGGCGTTTTCCGTGGGAGTGTGTTTAAAATCCGTCGATATCTACAGCTCAGCCGACATACGCCTCGAGATGTGCTCTGTGCTCGGCAGCGCGTTGCACTCGGCCAACTCATCATCTTCGAGCCCGGGTTCTTCGTGCTCAATGGTCGCTGGCAGCGAACCGTCTTCGCTGCGCCCCGGGGTGCTGGACTCCAAGGAGGAGGAGGAGGACAAGCTCGAGGACAAAGACGCCGGCAATACGGATAACGGTGCCTCAGCGACCTCAAACCGAGGCGGCGCGACAACCGTGAGGCGGGGCGGAAGCTCGGCGGAGGGGGCATCCGATGAGGGAATAACTTCCTCCGGGCCCTTCTCAGCAGCGCCGGGCGGCTCGTTGGCTTCTATCGAGGGCTCCGGAGCCTGCTCAGAGACGGGCTCGTTGGCGTCTGTCGAGGGCTCCAGAGCGTTCTCAGCGACGGGCGACGGACTGTCGGGGCGGACATTCGCCGTCGAGGTGCCGGGGGCGTCCGAAGCCTTAGCGAGGCTGTCCTCCGTAGAGGCTGAGGAGGCCGCCTCTCTCGATTCGCCCGCCTCCTCGCGCCATGAGCTCAGTCGAGATTTCCGTTTGGACTTGCGTGGAGCCCCACCCGCCTTGCCTACCGCAGGGCCTCCGCTGCCACTTGCTGTCCCGCTGCCGACCTCCTCAACACACTCGGAACCAACTCCTTCGGCGGCACCATTCCTCACCGCGCCGTCATCGTCGCGCGGCTGAGGCTCCGCACCCACCTCTGCGCTCGTCTCGGCGGCACTCTCGCCTTCCGCCTTTTGAGTGGGCGTGGGCGGCATGTGGGCTGGGCGGGCAAACTCTGTGCTCGAGACGCGTTGGGTCGATGAGCGCCGCTCGACGTCCAGGATGGGCTGCGAGCTTCTCCGCTCCCTCGCCACCAGCTCGTCCACAAGCGCCGCGGACCCCTCTCTGGATTTCCGGCGCGATGGAGGCTCTTCGGCGTGGCTTTTGCCGAGCTCACTCTCGCGAAGCGGCGCGATGCTGGCTCGCGCAACTGAGGGGTAGCTAACTGAGGGGTAGCTCACGGTGGCCTTCACCTCCCGTTTCGACGCTGCAGCGCCCATGGCGAGAGTCGGGACTCGAAGTTATGCGGACGTCCCCTCCTTCTCCTTGGATGGATTGCGACGCGCTCAAGAAAAACTATTCGCGGGTCGAGACAACACCCGAGTCTGAGCTGTCCCGAACCGCACTTATCTTGGGTCTTCAAGCTCACACCGGCTCGTGATGCCACGGAGAGGGCTCGAGATTGTCCCCGGTGGACCCCATCCGAGCCGATTGTGTGAGGGCTTTCCGGAGGTCATCATCGGCGCCATCGACTGTGAAATGTCCCGACCCACAGCCCTCATGCACCCAGGCGCATGGATGCAGTCATAATATGTAGCCCTTCTTTCCCGAAGCTTGGAGCAATAGCCGCAAATAGTACTTTTTGGCACTTCATCGCGACCACGTCTTGTCCCCACTCAAGGTTATGGGAGCGGCCATAACAGGTGTTATGGCTGTTATGGCTGGCTGCTCATAACACCCCATAACACCTCATAACACCTCATACCACCTCCATCGCTGTTATGGCTGTTATGCCCACCCTACCATAACACCTCATAACACCTCATAACACCGTCATAGCACTCATAACAACTCCCACTGGTTGTTATGACAGCCAGCATAACAACCTCATAACACCTCCCACTTTTTAGAAACCTCGAGACATGTAGTGGAAAAAGGAAAGAAAAAGGACAGAGCTAACCCTCGGAGACCCGTGTTTACTTTACGGCCCTTGCCCTGCGAACGCGTACCCCCGGGGCTAGGGCTCTCTAGCCCGTAACCCGACACCGATCATCCGGCTCGCTGGGTGCGCTTCTTAGCTCCCCGGCCCTGGATGTGAGGTTGATAACTGCACTCCAAGTGCTCCAAGGACGTGAGTTAAATTGCGGGAAAGACATACAAGTTAAAAACATAGGGAAGCGTGCAGAGCTGCAGAGAGTACGAGTTAGAAACGGGAAGCAAATTGCGTGAGGGGGGGGGGGGGGGGCTGGTCTTGATTGAGCAATCTGAAGCCATCGCTCAGCCTCAGGAGGCAGGTATATGTTATTGAATTTAACGTGAGGGCAAAAGAGAAAATATTTGGCGATCGATGCCGAACCTACCTCGCGCGCGGCAGCGCGCGAAGCGAAAATTCTACCGGCGAGCAGTCCGGCATGTGGCCTCTCGGGCCATTACACCGTGGACCCGGGACGGCCCTCCCATAGCAGGCCCTGAGGGAGGGTGTAGAGGATGTAGAGTGTAGAGCGCTGTAGAGCTGTAGAGATGTAGAGCGCTCTGGAGCGCTGTAGAGCTGTAGAGCTCTACATCCGCCGCGGGACGAAGCGGGTGCGTTGTAGAGCGATGTAGAGCGCGATTTTGTTGTAGAGCTTGTTGTAGAGGCTCTACTGCCAAACCGCCGGGAAGGCAGTGACTCAAAGAGGTCGAGCCGCGCTAATGGGGTGTCTCCGAGCTTACTGGAGCTCTGATGGACGGCCCTGACACACAGAGAGTCACTCTGACGGCACACAACACCCTATAACTGCGTCATGACCAGCCTGCCATGCGTCGCCGGTGCCGCATTCGTCGCAGTGCTCCTTTAGCAGGCGGTGGACTGTCGGCTGCGAGGACGGTCGCATTTGCGCGAGGCGAGGCGAGCATTCAGACGCGTTGCATGCGCCATGACTCGCGCCAGCGCGTGCGGGAGCTCCTGGCTGAGCGTTGAGTCCAGGCGAGTTGCGCTGGCCACGATCGCTACGCCGAGCCGAGCTGACGCGCCGAGGCGCCGGCCAGTCGCAGCCGTGAGGCATGCCACAGCAGCAGAGGCACCTGCCACCCATTGGGCGGGCAGACGGAAGGCCAGGGCAGCACTGGCAAGTGCAACGCGCCTCATGTCGGAGAGCGACCGTGCCTCGTTCGCCGCTTATGATGTAGAGTTTGTTGTAGAGATTTCACGTTGTAGAGGCAGCGCCTCTACATCGCTCTACAACGCACCCGCTTCGTCCCGCGGCGGATGTAGAGCTCTACAGCTCTACAGCGCTCTACAGCTCTACAGCTCTACAGCGCTCTACACTCTACATCCTCTACACCCTCCCTCAGAGCAGGCCATAACATGTTATGGGCTGCTATGCCCAGAGAGCCATAACACCATAACAATAACTGTGAGTGGGGACAATACGTCCCTCCAGGTGCCAACAAAGCGGCTTCCCAGCTCATCAAGCCCTGGTCTGGACGGTTCTTTTGCGGTATCTTGATGTATCCATATCTGACTGACCGTATCCCGCCATATCCCGCCATATCCCGCCATATCCCGCCATACGATATCCCGCCATATCCCGCCATATCCCGCCATATCCCGCCATATCCCGCCATATCCCGCCATATCCCGCCATATCCCGCCGCGGATACCGCGAAATCCCGAAAAGAACCGTCCAGACCAGGGATTCATCACCTCGCCTTCTCTGTCGCTCTCCTGGCCCAGGTCCATCAGTATCAAGTCTGAGCTGTCCCCAACCGTCCTTATTTTGGGTGATGAAGCTCACTCGAATTCTCTTCGCGTGCGAACGTCTTTTTTTGGGTAAAATTCTCTTCTTCTCCCGCGTGGGCTTGGTGCTGCTGCCTTGCCCTTCTGGCCTGAAAATCAGCCCACGAATGGTCCGTGCGGCGCACGACGTCGCCACGGACCGGCTGGCGAACACGCTCGCCAGCGTCACCGCAGCCGCCTCCGTCGTCGCTGCCGCCGCGCCGGCGCTGTGCGCCGTCCACTGCGCCGCGATGCCGATCGCCGCTGTCCTCTTGCCGTCGCTGCAGGCCAGCGGCGGCAAGATCTTCGGTCGCAGCGTCTGCATGCACGCCGTCGCTCGCAAGCTCGCCTACTACTTCGTGATTCCCTGTGGACTGCTCTCCAACGCGGTGAGCTACCCGAAGCACGAGAGCGTGGCGACGACCACCGCGTCGCTCACCGGCATCTCCTTTGTGACCGCGGCGGCGGCGTGGGCGGCGGCGGCCCCCTACCGCACCGCCCTCAACCTCAGCGGATGCGCGCTCATGCTGGGCTCGACCGCTGTGGGCAACCGTCTGGCGGAGGAGAACGGGCGGGGCTGCTCCGGTTGCTCGACTTGCGAGGGCTGCTGAGAGCCGCGGAGGTCCTCTACCCTCGCCCGGTTGGAGGACGCGGGCGGCTGTATTTAGTTCGGAGAGCGTACTCCGACGCCGGCAGACGCGGCGATGTGACAGTGACCTCTACGGGTGTGGACGGCAGTTGTGGTGGTGTGACGTGTGTGCGTGTGGGCGGGGAGTTACTCCTGGGTGGCGGCGCTCTCGGGCCCGCAGCCGGCCTCCCGTGCCGGTATAAAGATAGTACGAAGCCCGGTTGGGGTTGGTCGCAGGGCAGGTGAACCTTCTTTTCTACCAGGCTAGGATTGAGAGCAGCCTCGCTCTCAATCCTAGAGAAGTCGAAGGATTAAATAAATAAAAACGGACACCTCTCTACTGTGAGATGGGTAAAAAGGAACAGGTCCCCGCCCTTGCGATCTTTGTGCAGGGTTCTTTGTGGGTGTGGTCGGCGACTAGCCGGGGTCGTCCTCCCGGTGGGGGACTATCACTAGCCGTCTTCCACATGGTCCCTCGGGTCCCTGCTACTCCTAATCTCTTCGTACATCCTCCTGCTGATCTCCGCAAAGTCCTGCTCCCTCCCTCGTCTCGCCCTGCGCGTCTGCTGCGCCTCACCGTCTTCTGCCCTGCGTCGTCTGGCGACGGGTCCTCCATAGTCGGTCGAGGTCGCCGCCCTCCTCGTGCCTCTTCCCAACGTTCCCTCGGCGGCCGATGCCGTCTGCTCCGGCTCCCCAGTCCCCGGGTCTGCCCTGCTCTCGTCTGCGCTAGTTTCTGCTTCGTCACCACCGGCGTCTCTCCTCTTCTTTCTCCCCTTCTTGTATGCTTTGTACATCGCGTCGATTCCTTTTCGCGTGAGCACCAGCCTGAAGCCCGCCCAGCATCTGAACCGCTCCCTAAGTCGAAGGAGCATCATCAGTCTCACCCACTTCGCTCTCTGCCCACCGTCTCCGCTCCCTCCCGCTTGAGCCGCCGTCGCGGCCCTCGTTCGTCCCACTGGCTGTTGGCCCGTCCCTGCGTTGCCTGCGTTGTCCCTCCTCTGCGACTCCCTCAAGGCCGGCCGAGCCTCTTTCCACCCAGTGAAGAGCTTCCTCAGCCACTCGATGTGTTCCTCTCTCTTCATTATGCGCGCCGTAGCCTCATCACTGAGCTGGATCCACCTCTGCACCGCGCCCGTCGCCGCCTCGGCCACGACTTGCAAGTTCCTCGTGACCCCGGCGCCAAGGTCCCTCCGGCTCTTCTCCGAGAGATCATCTACCAGCGCCGGCAACACCCCCCCGACGGCTGGGGCTAGTGCATCGTACCCGTCCTCATCCAGCACCCTATAGCGTGAGCCCTTCAGCGCAGCGACATGCGCCATCCTCAGCGTCTTCAGCGTATCCTTGGAGTCGGGTGCCGCCTGGGCTACTTTGCTGATCGCCGTCCCCAGACGTAGATCTTAGCGTGAAACACACACACCAAGGACAGGGTCGGACTGTGTGCTGGTCCGAGAACTACGGCCCCAGGGAAGAGAACCCTGGTGCACTGGTTCGCAGGGATCGAAGGATTGTGAGCAGCACTCCTCGCAATTTCGTAGTATCTCTGTGCGATCTTGTGAGCACCCACGCTCGCAATCCTACATCTTCTAGGACTAAGAGCAGCTCCGCTCCCAAGGTGACTGGTGACGCCTACGACTACTACCGGCGCGCTCACAATCCGAGCAAACTCTAGGGTTGCGAGCAGCTTGGCTCACAATCCTAGCAACATGCCTCCGATTGCGAGCAGGAGCGCTCGCAATCCTAGAACTTTCGCCGATTACGAGCGACACCGCCCACAGTCCTACGACTTCTAGGATTGCGCGCGGGTCCCCTCGCAGTCGGTGCGATCACTGTTTGGATTGTAAGGAGACCCTCCCGGCGCGCTCACTCACAAGCGCTCGCGGCTGGAGCGATTGGGAGCGCCCTCTGTGCGCTAGCAATCCTTGGATCTTTGGTACGATTGTGAGCACCGCCGCTCAGAGTCCTACAAACAAGATGTAGGATTGCGAACGCTCCTGCTCGCAAACGGAGGCATGTTGCTAGGATTGTGAGCCAAGCTGCTCGCAACCCTAGAGTTTGCTCGGAATTGTGAGCGCGCTGGTAGTAGTCGTAGGCGTCACCAGTCACTTTGAGAGCGGAGCTGCTTCTTAGTCCTAGAAGATGTAGGATTGCGAGCGTGGGTGCTCACAATCGCACAGAGATGCTATGATTGCAAGGAGTGCTGCTCACAATCCTTCGACTTCTAGGATTGAGAGTGAGGCTGCTCTCAATCCTAGCCTGGTAGAAAAGAAGGTTCACCCCCAGGGCACCGTAAAGCGTAATCGGTGTTTTTTTAAATTTTTTTGGTTTGTAAAAATCTCGTTTCTGAGAATTATCCAGAGTTTCCATGAAGAGGATCTTGAAGGACGATCAGGGACACAGGCGAACGGGATTGGGGAGCGCGCCGCGTAATTTCTTCCGCGCCCGCGCTGGCGTGACGTGGCCTGCCGGGATGTCGCCGCTGCTGCTCCGGCTGCTGCTCTGTTCGTTGGCTCTGACAACCTATGGCCAGGGCATGAGCATGTCGGCAGAGGAGGAGGAGATGCTCGAGGAGATGGGCATCAAGGGCGCGCCGATGGGCCGCAAGAACCTTGACCCGCAGGCGGCCCCATTCAAGTCTGACCTCAAATACATCTATTGCGGCGTGTGCCGCAAGATGGTGGAGCAGGCTCACGTCAAGGCGCAGGAGATCCTGACGAAGCGCTTCGAGCAGCTCAAGAAGAAGAAGCGCAAGCGTGATACGACCGAGTTTGACGGCGAGGGAGCGGTGCAGGAGTTCACCGAAAAGATGTGCAACCCGCTCAAGGCGAGATCGCGCCCCCGCGCCGGGCACGCGGCCGCCCACCGTGCTTGCGTGGCATCGCTGAGCGCGCCCGCCTCCGCCCGGCGCGCAGCCCGAGGGCGAGTGGGTCGGGAAGATTGACCTCACGCAGGAGGGAGACAAGCTGGTGCTCGCGTCTCAGCCTGAGGCGGGCAAGTGCAAGCGCGAGTGCCGGACGGTGGAGGCGGCGTGCAACGAGGTGCTCGACCGCGCAGACACCGAGTTCACCGAGATTCTCTACAAGGCGATCCAGGACGGCAACGACCTCGAGCAGGCTAGCCGAGCCAGTGAGAGGGAGGGCTCTGTGGTCGCGGGCGAGAGGGAGAGCGGCTGCGGGGCACTGGAGGGCGCGCGCGGGACTTCCGGCGTCCGACGCCACGCCATTGCCTCCTCCCCCCCGCAGGTGCAGCGCTACATCTGCAACCGCGCGGCGGGCGTGTGCAAGAAGAAGACGCCGCCGCTCAAAGGGACGCGCAAGCACGACGAGAGGTTCCACGCGCTGACGGCGGAGGAGAAGCAGATGCAGGACATGCAGGCGAACCTCAAGGAGACGGGGATGAGCGGGACCATGTACAGGAGGGAGGACCTCGCCGGCATGATGGACAAGATGAAGGACTTTATGCCCGAAGGGATGGGCGGGGAGGAGGGCGGGGAGGGCAGCGTCAACCCCGCCGTCGACGAGGAGGGGGACGTGTACGACCAGGAGTCAGGCCTGCCCATCGTGGGGGAGTCCAAGGAGGAGCTCTAGGCATAGGGGCGGTGTGCAGTGAGTCGGAGAGAGCTTGAGGCCTGGAGAGCGGTGGTGAGAGGGGGAGAGGGCGTGCAGCGGGCAGCGTGCCAGACGTTGGCTAGCGACCGCTCCATTTTCTATGCAGGACACGGTGCCAGCGCCTTTCGGTAGTTGTGTCGAACCGTTTTATATTATCAGCACAAAACCCTATCTCCACACCGACACGCACGTCGCCACGCCGCGGCCGGCCGTGAGCCGTGTGTCGCGCACACGGAGACACGGTGCGCGGGGCCCCGCGCCGGCCTCCTTGCCTACGACTCGCGAGCTAGAGGGCGAGAGACACCGCCCGCTAGCCAGAGATACACCGCCGCTGCGGGGCCACGGCAGCCGTGGCCGAGAGAGTGCAGCGGTGCGCCTCCCCTCCAGCCCGGCGCTCAGGCTCGGTCGGCCAGGCGCGCGGCGACGAAGCTGACGAGGCTGCGCACGACCGACGCGCCGCCGAGGTCGTGGCCGCCCGGGTGGGTCACGTACTTGACGTCGGCTCCGTTCGCGGTCAGCAGATCGCGCACCCAGCCGGAGCACGCGAAGGGGAGCGTGCCGTCCGCCATGCCGTGCGTGACGAGGACGGGAAGCGCCTCGCCCGCCTGCTTGAGGGCCTGCAGCCGCGCGGACCACTGCTCCACCACGATCGGAGCGCCGGAGAGGAAGACGACGCCGGCGGGCGGCTCGGTCGGCGGCATGTGCAGCGCGGTGTCCATCGCCGTCATCG